CTAACTATCGGAAATCAAAAGTTAAGGAATCCACCCGACACAGCTGATTATGAATCACGCGAAGCGCTTCAGGAGATTGATCGGTATATATGTCGGAAGTTCAGGAAGACTGAACTTTTTCGAAATTTTCTGTAACCAAACACTGTAATATTTTTAATTTATTATTTGAACATGTATCGTTCTATTTTTTTTCTACTAAAGTGCTAATGTTCCATATCCGTTAAGCGGCACTATCGTATATTTCAGTTTATTGAGGGTACATACGTAAAATTTTTGTAAAGTAAACCTGCAAATCGCTTGTCGTCTCGTTGCCAGGACAAGCGGGTGTTTAATCGTACGTCGTAGAAGAATTTTGACTTAGACATGACAGCTCAGGAAGTTGCCACAACCGCTGTTAAAAGTTCTATTACTTTGCGAGGTTCCGCAGAGATGGTCGGCGAGTTTTTCTGTAAATCCATTGTTTATAATTATTTTTCTGACGTTAATCGGTTGTTGCTTTTTTTTGCAAGATTTTGGCATCAACAGCATCTTGTTTCAACGTGGCGTCTATCACGCTGAATCCTTCAAAAAAGTACAAAAATACGGACTGACCGTCTTAGTGACGAAGGATTGTAAGTTGGACAAGTTCTTCAAACCGCTTCTGGACCAAATAAGAAGTAGGAATCACGCTTCGCAGTTCGTTCCCTTGCTAGCACTGTCGATCGTTTTTGATAGTTTGGCTGATCAAAAAGCAGATCCGAAAGTTGGTAATGGTGATCGTAAGTGTGCAGACGAAGGAGACGTTGGAAAGATGGGAATTCGACATCGAAACCGACGACGATATCACGGAAGAAGGGTCAGTGAATCTCGCCGTCCTTGTCGCTTTTCTTATCTTTTTTTATCTTTGTGAATCCGTTCCTTTCCTTTTTAGAACAGTCACTTGTCGCGAAAAATCTCAGAAAATCATTCAAAACGAAATTCGTGACGTCATCAGACAAATAACCGCATCCGTTACTTTTTTACCATTGCTTGAGGAGCTGTGTAAGTAGTATATCTTTAGAATATTTTTTATTTTTCCAGCAGAATTCAAATTCTCTCTGTTTTTTGTCGTATCTTCAGGAAATACGACAGCATTTCGATTCTCCATCATTTACATTATCCGGACAGTTTAAATCTGTTGGTGTTAAGCAGAAGTTGATTTTCCAAAAGCAAAAATGTTATTTTGGACAAGAGGAGGCTTAATTTGTTACACTTGGCTTTGACATGAACTGATTGTTTTTTTCTTCTTGCCTTGCACAATTTTGAAGTAGTAACATTTAAACATGAGCAAATTGTAGCACTAGTTTATTAATTACTGTAATGCGCAGGTACAATTTGATGTAGCGGATTTTACTTCAATAAGAGAAATGTTAAATGCATTATTAACAATGAACTTTAAGTATAAATGGTTGTTAATTTTGTAGGTAAAGGCCGTCTTAATCATGCACTTAAGAAAATAATTTTAAAGGCTACTACCAATAACGCGCTGTAGATGATTTGAATGTGGTAGGTCTGCTGATTTCACGGTTTGCAGTAAGAGAATGATAGTCATTCTCTGATGATAGCAGATGCCAGTTCGATCAAAACATTGGAATTCTTGTAAATGAAACTTGTTTCTCGTGCTGCCAACCATGGGATCAGAAGATCTGTTGTTTTCTTGACCTTTCTCAATGTTGCCTACCCGCCTTCTGATTAACCGCAGGCGTGTCATGAACCTCAAACTAGTGATCAACTGAAATAATGGTAACTGAAGGTTGACTCTGAGGTGAATTTAGCAGAAGGATATTTTAAGACCAGGTATGAGAATCAATGGATTCAGGACTAACGTCCTTGTAATTTGTGTACCTTTAAAGACAGTATGATAAAAATGTTTGCCACCGGCTCTTAGTAGGAAACAACGTTGTTCTTGAGGTGGGGGAGTTTTTGGAATGGCTTCCGAGCTGTGGAAGATCGTTCAATCCAAGTGAAGATTTTTCTAGTTCTTGAACTTTTTCTGTTGGTTTGTTTTTATTGGCCTGATAATGTCGCCTCGTACTAAATTGCTATTGTTTTTGTAAAGACAAGTTCGGCATGACGCTTAATAAATTCTATATTTATTTTTTTTTATTGAAAACTTTTATTCGCGGTTGCTTTGCTACTACGCTGACCAACATTATTTACATAAAGATGATTATGAATTCAGTATAACATTTTACATGTTTATAATGGTTTGTTGCCCTTGATGCATGAATGAAGAAAGTAGGTGTATATAAGAAATATACACTAAAGTACTTCTTGAAATATTAATGAATTTTGATATGCTTTATGCAAGAATGTCAAATATTTTCGCGTTTGAGAATGGGTTTGTAACGTCAATACCAGTAGGTGTTTTTAGGTTCCTTTGATATACTTATTTACGCGAAAAAGGATTCAGAAACTCCTGAAGGGTGGGGTCTGGTCGACGCTCATCACGTGAAAAACTGTCAGGTGGTAAAGTTGAATTCATTTTCGACGAATGTACATAAAGTTGAAATGCGGGTTTCGTACAAAAATTATGATTCATAAGTTATGGGTTTCGGAAGTTGCATGTTTAGTGATTGTCTACGCTGTTTATTATGCTTTTTTGTCATGCACTTAAATGCATTTCGTGAAGCGAGGAAGAACCCATGCAGGCAATTTTTTGACGAATAAACGCTTTTTTACGAGTGATAAATTAGTTCGATTCAGAACTTAGTACTGTAACAGTCCGGAGAAGTCTTATACACTTACGCCGTTGCGATCGATGGTAGTAGTCTGCGGAGTAATGGCCATAATTCTACAGTTTAATATTCAGAACATTTCTCAGTACAGCTGACGCATGATGGCGACTTTCAGGACTTCTGTAGTTTTTACAGTAATATAAAATGGTAAACTGACAGTGGAAGTCAATTTTGTGAAATAAAAAGTAGAAGTTCAGTGTTATCGCTTCTTGACAACCGGTAATATGATCCCTGGGGAAGACACTGATTCAAGTGGACTCGCCAGTGGTTAAGTGCCATCGGGGGGTAGCGGAAAATTATTCCATCCTCAGCAACCGCGCATGTAACATCAAAAATACGAAATCTCGAATTCGACAGCTTGATACGAAAGTTCGTGAGTTACGCAGGCAACTTTGTTGACTGAAACGTAGAAATATTGCCGTGGTGCAAACCTATAGACATGAGTCATTCTGTTAAATTTAAGCACGAAAATCAGAAGCATAATATTGAGGCCAGTCATGTTTATGTTTCACGATCATACAATTCCTGCTCCTTGTAGCATAGCGGCTTAAGCCAGACGCGTCAGGCATCTGCACAAGCGAGTAACGTGGATAACATCTGAGGAAGTCTGCAACTACTTTTAGTCGGACAGGCGAGACACGTCAGTATTCGTCTTAAACAGGTAAGCATGGATGACACACTTGACTGACGACGTAACAGATGTTGGCATTTTATCTTATGCGAAATGTCTGTCGCAATCGTCACCTGCTAACAGCGCAGTAATTTTTCAAGATAAAGGATTTCGTAGCGAGGGAAACTGATTTTGAAGGCAGCGTTTACCGTAGTGCAGGCTCGTCGTTTTTAGGCGTACAAATACTGAATACACAGCTGATTCAAAATTTATGGTGTTTCTGATTGAATTGCAGCGCTCGACCCAACTGAGCCCTTAATCCACACTAAGGGGGTCAAGTTTTATAGAATGTTCGCAAAATTTATACGGACGGCATATCAATGACTTAAAAAAGCATAAATAGGCGTATAAATGATCATATAAACACAAAATACGGAACGTTCGGAAGAGGTACGAAATACATGAAATAAAAGAAACGACCTTGAATGCTCTTTGATGACACTAAGATGGCCAGTTCTGATTTGTTTTGGTCAACAAGAGCCAGGACAAAACAAAATAATTATTCGCTTTTAATTTTGCACTCTGTCTCAGCCTGCGATTCAGCTGCCGCAACTTGTTCAGTTGTTTCACTATGGTCTTTCAGTTCTTTCACGCGATATATTTCATGATTCGACAATGGCGCATAATAAAAGATCCAGCAATCTTTGTAAATTTCTATCATCGGCGAAGCAGACAGACTTTCCTCCTAGGATAAAGGGTCATAAGTTTGGCACAGTCTGGATAGGATTAATGTGATTAATGAAAAAAATTAAAATAGACGTCTTCTTACAAAAGAAGAAAAAGCACTGATAACATTATCGTTAAAAATCAGGCCTACATCCTGATGTCACATAAAACATTTGAGTTTGCGGAGATAAATACGATCTTTGAAGCAGCAGTTAATATTAAAAAGTACCAGTCTAACGGTCAAATATTATAAATATGTTGTTCTGCTGTTTAAGCACCGTTAACGCCAGATGATGATGGCAAAACTACAACTTAGCAACACCAACGACATACTGTCAATGGTTATTTCTATAAGCTGGACAAAAACCATAACATACAACAAAGTCTATATACAAACAAAGAACAAATACACTCAAAGAAATAAAAACGGGTTATGGGAGGGGGTAACAAACTATGTATCGAGATTTTCAGACTTAAAAACATTTCGGCCCTTCACAATTGTAACAAATCATAATATGTTGATCAAAAAGAAAACAATACCAACATTAATCCTGAAAAATCACACTTTATTTATGTGATAAGGCCTGAAATGATTTATCATGTATTCCACAGACGTCGATTTAATATTCCAGACTATATATGCGTCCAGTCTAATTCAGCCAAAATATCGATAAACTACCCATCAGTTACAGTAATTATAACAATATCGAAAAGCTGATTATTTAACTGTATAAGTGATTATATAATTAAATAGTACAGTTAGTTAAGTTATAAGTAGTAATATATGTTTGTAAAAGCATAGTTAATTTATAACACACAGGGTTCTTTAGGTCTCACAGTTACATTGAGAGTTGCCTGGCATAATAAGCTGAGCAACTGGTAGTGTAATATGCGTGAAACATGGTCTTTGGGGAATCATTCGTCATTTGGCTTATTCAGATATAAGAAGAGCATATGATTTTGTGCGGCAGCATATGACGAGTACCAACTCCTGAAAAGTGGTTTGTGATGATAGCGAGGTGGTTTTAAAGTACACTGCAGGTGTTCAAATACCATGGAGCAGTAGTATGCTTAAATCCTACCGCCCCTCACTTAGGAGTACGCCGTGAAATATGATCTTTGAGGAATTATGTGTTGTCTAGCCTCAGAACAAATGGCGAAATGTAACATTTACATATCTTTGGAGAACACTTGAAAGCATGTCGACTTTTGTGTCAATGGCCAAACTTTCAAAGCTCTCCCTAATAATTTCTGCTAGAACGATTGTTTCTGCGCTTTCTTTCAGGTTGTGTGAAAAACTTTATAATCGAAGGGGCAAAAGTTTGCGTTTAGTTCTACCAGAAAGAATCTGGCTAGTTTTATCAGAAAATTACAGAACCGACTAACACCCTATATTACTGAATTTTACAGTGTTTATACATGCCTCTCTTTTTGTATTACTTAATCGCACCTTCATTAGAGAAGATGGATGCTGGTCGTGTTTCTGCCGAGACATTTAAGCATATAAAATTGTTGTGTTTTATTCTTTAATTAGTTTTTAGAAGGTTACCGAAAATTTTATAAGAATACCAGTCAGCTCAATCTGTTTCATTTTCTTTTACAACTAAATGGAATATTTCGTCTATAATATGCGTCTACTTTTTAACGGATTGGGAATTTGGTAGTTAATTTTGAGACATTTGTAAGAAAGCAAACAGTAAGACATCGCAGAGACAATAAGCTTGAAAGGGAAATTAGGTTTACGTACTTTTAACAAACAGGAAAAATATCCTGCTACTACGCTGAATCTCAGACTGAGAGGTGTTTTAACAGCTGAAAAATTTCAGGTACAGGTAGTCATGGGGAACAAGAACAATTTTTTAAAGAAGAGCACGAAGACTGTAGATCAGGAGCGAGGTAAAAGCAGATATCTTGTGGAAACAGATGTTGAACACGTCACAATCTTTGTTCTTATTGCCATACCTATTTGTAGCCACTAGAGCAGTTCTTAGTCCACTTCTGAGACTAATGGAAAGGGCAGAATTGCTCAGTCATTTGAGCGTCGGACTTAGAACCGATATGTCCCGGGTTCGAGCACCGGTCGGTTGCTTCCGAGATTGATATATGAGCAACACTCTGTTGGAAAGACACTAAGCTTGCCACATCAAAACTGTCCACTGCGCGTTCCTGGCTGATGCCACGGAAATGGAGATCAGCGCTCAACTACTGACTTCATGAAAAGAAGGGCGTCAGAAATGATCGCATTCCATCATGACAACGCCAGGAAGGCCGACATTCTAACTTTAGTTCATTTTCCGCTTTTTTAACTTTTTGAATTTAATAACAAATTCCGGTCTTTTAGAGTTGTGATTGACCTAATGACGCATTTCGTTATGACAACAGCCATAGCATCATCACACGAAAAACTTCTAAACGAATACCGCAGTAAGTTACAAAGCATGCAGTTTGAATCTGAATACATCGCAGATTTAAACTGTTAAAAGAACTTACCTGAATGAAGCCTTTCAAACAAGGGTAAACCTTCGCAGGAGCGATCCACAGCGAAAACGGCGACTGGTACGGAAACTTTGTGATTACAGCCCTTTCTACGGTTGGCACATCGAAAAAAGTGTAGTCGTTCTTTTCAAGAAGGCGGATGTCGTCGTCGGTGACCGTCCAGTGGTCACCCTCTCCATCGCCACAGTTGTGAACGATGCATCCAACGGCACAGTGGCATTTGTCGCTACCGTCTTCCTAGATCACGGTTCGGCTGAGTCTCGAAATCATGCGGGTCGGTGACAGCGATGCTTACCGACGGTTTATCGTAGTAGATGCCGACCGGGATCGCCTTCGGCACAATCGAGGTTACTTCGGTGAACGCCGCCCCGAGATCTGCCGAATAACAACTTGTCTGCAAGAACTTGTACGCGATGCGATATCCGGCAGCGCCAACCACCGGTCGACCGATAGAAATCTGAGGAACGTAAAACAGGCCCGAATAGCTGATGAGCACTAGAAAGAAGTCGCCACTCCTTATCCATCAAAAACTGCACTCATCAGCGCAACAATTACGTACCGAAGGTCGTAACCACAAGGGCAAAGAATAAAATGATAATCAGTATGATTAACGTCGATGTTTCCATCATCTTTCTCGCACAAAGTAACCTCAAGATTCCGCGTATACCGTAATTTCAATGATAAGAACGAACTGTTATGGTCAGTACGAAGCTTGATCATTATTTACTGATAAATACCCCCAATCAGGGTAGGAAAAGAGGTAAACTGCGGGTTATCCTGTACGAAAAGAAATTAAGTGATAAAATAAAAGTAATATGAATAAGTACAATCAAGTCATCGTCTGCAAATTTTCAAACAAACCTGGCAGTTTCCTATATACGAGAGGCATCATACCAGAACAGTAAATACCAACGTTGGTGCCGCGATAGCATACCGGATAAGCTGCTTTAGCGCAGAAAGTTGTGCTGGAGAAACCGGAAGAAAACTGTACAACCGATGTGAGATTTGCTGCGGCTGAACGCAGTATACTAAGGAGTAATATTTTGAAATGGAATGCAAGCAGCATTGTTCGCTTTGAAGCCACATGGTAGGAAATAATGATTTTGGAAGCAGTCATCGGAAGCAAACAACAGATTCAACTAAAATAAAAAACCGTGCAAAATCATCCCGTAATGGTCCGCAACGTAATGTAATTAAAATATGTACAGACGTGTAACACTGGAAGTCACATCCGCCACTGAAGACTCATCACCATGAACAAATACCAAAATTGGCAGTATATGCATAAGGAAGAAACCACGACCCGGGCACAGGAACTAGACGTCATCGTCCAAAAATGAGACAGAAATTACTCAATATTCGATTCTTTCCACAGGTGCGTGGTGTGGTGATACAATACCTACGAGGCTTGTTTCAAACTCCGGAGGTGCAGGATTTGATTCCGCTTGAGGGCAATTTCTATTTTATTTACGAATTTTCTTGAACAAGCTATTTATCAAATATTACTTCATACCGGGGTTGCTGAGATGGTACAGCATCGAATTCAGAACCAATAGGTCGCGAGTTCAAGTCCCAGCCAAGGTTACTCGATCTTCTTTCCCAAGTTCATGAATGAATACTGCTCTACGGAAAGGAAGTGGGAGACTACATGTCAGGCTCTCCTTTCTGTGCCACGCCTGTTGTAGCGATGGGGTAGAGACGGAAATAAGACTGCATCATGAAATTGAAAACAAACAGGACGCCCAAATAGTTCTATCATGAAAGTGAAGGAAGACCGAAAATTCAACGGAGAGGAACTTTTTTCCTACGGATGACTTGCAGCACTTGCCGCCATCTGTAGACGAAAAATCTTTGCTCTCCTTATTCTGGATTTTATAATGACTGCACATTCCCTGAACCCATACCGAGATACTTAAATGATAAAATCGAAAAATCATCTAAATAAGCTGTTTGCGAACTTCTGTTCGAAAACAGCGCCTTGATCGAACTGAAACGTAATTTGAAGAAAATCTACTAGTTTGAAAATTATTATGGACATGTGGAAAAATAAATTTAAAAAGGGGAACTTTCTTTACATCGTTAAGCAAAATTGGGTCTATGTCGTTAATGTAATATGAGGATTACATCGCACACCAGATGCTGTTGCGTCTTGAAAACCAAATCATTGAACTGGCATGTTTAACGATAAACGGACCCCTGGGCATTCTATAGGACTCTTGGGACAGTTTTGCGATCCGATGGAATAATGGACTTTGGAAACGAATGCATTATCAGCTTGAGACTTTCCATGCGGCTGAAGTTGATAAGGACAGGCGGATATGCAATTCTGTGCAAGGTTTTCATCGGTCTTTGCATATTTGCAAATCCAGAGTATGCACTAGTGCTGATTTTTTTGAGTTATTAAGGGGGTTTACAATATTTTAAATAGTGAAGTGCAAGAATTAGACAGAAATAATACAAGGCCTGCCTCATTTCTGCATGATCACTCAGAAAATTCTTGTTATCCAAAACGTTCGCAAGTTAAGGACATGAAACCTCTTTTTGGCTGGCCATTGAAGCTTAGTTGAATGAATTTCTTAACTGATGAGAGTTAAGATTAAGATTTTCAATCTAAACTTAGTGCCTGTAAAGTGCAAAGCAAACTACCAATCCATTGCGCAGTTGCGTCGAGAGGGCTTCGTTATCTCATGGATGCACCAGCTCGTACTTGATGACTCTCGCTCTTTTTGATGTTC